GGGAACATCTTAGTGGCAGCGAAACGAAAAGATCTCAAGTGTTGAGCGTCAAGACGGCTAAAATGAAAGAGGACCGCTCAAAAGTTAAATGAGCATGCGAGGCCGAAACTCCGGTGCTACCCTGCGTGCTCGCTCTCGCACATGGTTTGCACTCTACATGAGAGGCATGCTCGTGTGCCAGAGGCCGCCAACTGATATCACGTGGAAACCAAACGGGCATCTTCGGTTCTCGTCTCGAAACGTGTGCTCATAAAAAAAGGATTGTGAAAAGGGATATGGTCAAATAGGTATTGAACGAAGCTTATCAAGTAAAAAAGAACGAGAAACTCTCTTTATTGTAAATTCTTGATGCAGACGACTTTTTTAGCTGGCCTTCTCAACGACGGGCTCACCATCAAAGTGTTTTCTATGCTTCTTAATTATTGTTTGCAATTTTGGAAAGAGCTGCGTTTCCTCCCACAACCCGTTCGTATTACAAGCCATCTCTGTGCGAATCATGGCCTTCCTGGTGTATGTCAGGCCGTTCTCATCTCGTTGTGCGTTCAAGTCACGGACTGCATCAACTGCCAAACGCAGAAAAAATTTGCTTACCCGGATTTTTAATCTTCCCGGACCCATCGGTCCAATCGTTGCACATAATGCGTTCCATTTTATGTTGCTCCCATCGTGTTGTCCATACGCGCTTAATTTTTTGGATAGCAAACGAGTCGCATGGCTGGATGAGGTGCGTGGCGTTCTTGGGAAAATATCATATTTCGGTGCGAATATTATTCGCAGCAGCAGCCAAAGCAGCTGTGTAATTATGTCGACTGCAGTTATTGACGTATAAAATCCGCCGCCGCTCGTGTGGTAATGGACCAATAATACGCGGCTCTGACAGCCATTCAGGCATGAATACAGTATCTATCCAGCCCCTCGATCCCGTTCTATAAGCAACGCCTGGTACATTGTCAGGCACGCCTCTGATCGAGTATCCCCTCGATGCATTTTTAAACACCATAAACAGTGCCTCGATCACTGCATCCCGACCACCCGATATTCTAACGACCATCGTCATTCCGTCTCCCCCAAACACAACATCAGCGTACTTGACCTCACTCTCCCCTGAGAATCCGAGCGTTCTCCCGTTGTCAAGGTTTATGACGAAGTGAGTCTCGTCTGCGTTTTCAACATTATTCTCATCGAGTCCTTTGCTGCGGAACTGACGCTCCAAAACTCCTAAATGATATGCCACTTCCTTCTCAATAAAATCTCCTTTGCAGGAGAAGTAAGCTGTTTACCTGTGTGAGCGCGACTGACAATATGAAAGCGCTCGCAAAACGATTGTATCCAGCGTGGTGAAATAATTGACGGGATAGCCTTTCCCGTCTTGGGATCAATAAAGCTCGAGCTGTACTCTGTACTTTCGGTTGTTCTTATGAGATGAAGGGCAAGGGATTTCATTGTTTTCATGTTGAACTTCACACCGAGCTTACAGAGACGGTCAAACTCCGCCACCAGATCTTGATGTACTGCTTCGACCCAAGCCACACGTTTGCGGCCACGTCGAGACTTGGCCTTTGAGTAGACGCGCTTGTGTCCGTTCTTCGTCACACGAGTGATCGACGAAATGTGTCCACGTTGTACATCACCATGCTCATTGAGGAACTCAGCCTTGTTCTTCCACAATCGGGACGCTTTCAGGATATTGGTGTTTGGCGTACCCCTGAAAGATACCGGAAAATTGCGCACGGCTTTGGCAGGAATGTGTTTATCTCTTTCTGTAAGTGAAGTGCGCATCATCCATTTGACAATGTTGAGTCGTTCAGCGCTGGTGAGAACGTGCTGCAGTGAGCGTGTTGGCACGAGTGTAGAGGCACCAAGCGGCAAAGATGGCGCTTGACAGATTTGTTGAGCTGGAGGGGTGGCCGGTGATGTGCGCGGGAGTGTTGATCGTGCTTGGATTTGCCGCTCGAATGCGGTAACGATTGGGGAAGCCGAAAAGGGCATAGTGAAGAGAATGGCTTAAGGGGGGGGGAAGTGCTGTGTTGTGAGAGTCGACGAGGATCGATACGAGCTGACTTTATGCATGCATGAAGGAATCCGTGGTGGGCCATCGCGTTACAGTGGCGCGTGGCAACAAAACAGAACATGATAGAGTTCGATCTACTCGGCCCGATAAAAACCAGTAATGTTTTTGAGGTTACACTAATATCGTGGGAACGTCATTAGGTGTGCTTGTCACTATTTATATTTTGGTCTGGCAGCACTCCACACAAATTAGGGACACGTACAGTAATGGGCGTAGTTCCACTAATTGTTCGCTTACACTATTTGCAGTAACTGGGTGTACAGGGGATTAGGGGTACCCTATTTAGTGCTACCCCGTGTAGCGTGATAAAATAGGCACTAAATCGGGTTTGGCACAAGAACGGTAACTTAACAAGAAGACTGAATATAGTATTTAACTAAGGAAACCCGTCAAGGTCGTCTGTTTCTGCTTCTTCTGTGGCTTGAGAGCCTCAAATATGATGCGTCTAGCCTTGCGCAAATGTGAAGACGCATCAGGTAGAGAGAGAGCTACCGCTGCCGCCTCTAATTTTGAGAACTCATTCGCTGCTTCGATCAAAGAGAGAGAACGAGCCTGATTAGCATTAGAAATCTCCTCCATCACTGTATCTGTATGCTCTGCTTCAGTTCGCCCAGATGAAACACACCTAGACCCATCCATTTCCTCCATAATTCTCTCCACCTCTTCTAGAGCTTCTGTTTCCATGGCCTCTCTGACTTCACTTGAATCCTCTACCATAACCCAACCATTAATATTACTTTCATTTAACGTAGCAATATCAGCGGCATCCCTTTGGTCATTAACATTGCTCACATTTGCATTTTTTGCCTGGAGAGATAGGCCCGACATATCTTTTAAAACAGATTCCATGGCGTCCTGGGCCCGGGGGGCACTTGTTTATCATACCTTTTGGTGTAGAGCCGTTAGAGTAGCACTAAACCGGGACATACACTATATATAGAGGCACTAAATCGGGTACCCCCCTGTACCTGGAACACGTGTCATCAAGTCTGATGCGTCTCATACAACCACATCCGGAATGATATCAACGTGTACCGTATCTGCAACTTTGCTCTTGACATCGCCTGCTATGAAAGTGGCAGCTGTACGGTACAGCAGTGCACAGTGGACACGTCTCGTTGTAGAGGATACACTAGGCGTTTAGTAAAAGCATGATGATGGATGCCAAAAGCTGAAAAACATCCAACAGAAGTACTACTACCGACTGTCTCCGCACCGATGCACACACTAATTTACATGCCGCACTGCCACTATGTGTGCAGAAAGAAATCTTGGATGCCTTCATTCATCAGGACCACTTGCCCCAAGCAAAGCGTATTGATGAGTCACGTCAACAGCAGGAAGTTGCACCTCATTGACCAAATCCTTTTCACAGCGTATTCTGGACGATTCGTAGGTAGGCTGTTCGCTGTGGAGTGACATCTCCTCGAATCCTAGAAGCAGTCCTTATATTTTCTTCCGTCGGTCTTGTGATATTTGGACAAGTGTTTCTTCTTTTCCTTTTCTCCAGAGCGCGTGCTGAGTGCATTATCCACTTCCACCTTGCGACCGCAGGCCTTGCACATCACGTCCACCATGTTCGTGTGTAGTCGGAAGAGAAATATTGACGGAGGAGTCGGAACGGGCGGAACGGACAGGAATATCAGGACAGAAACTCCTTCGACAGAATAGTGCGGGACTTCTTAACTTGCTTTTGGTCTGGGCGAAGGGGCGGGGGGGGCGGGGGGGGTGGGGAAGGGGAGAAAGTTCTAGTGGAGAATATCTTAACCTTAAAATACACTACTGGGTGCGGGACCAATGGAGCAAGCCCATGGTCAGAGTTGATCTACTTTTGTATCATGCAACAGTTGTCCAATGGAAACGGATTCTATAGATTTTTTCTTTTAACTTCCTTGAGCCTCTTTACCCTAGCTTGATTTCAGATTGTTTTTCATTGTTAGGTGGCCGTTTGCTTCCAGATGACAAGGGGGCAACAATGATGTTTTAACCAGATGCGAGTTGGAGCGCCCACTGGTACAGATCCAACCGCCAGTCGTTGTTGAATTCGAGGTCCACGGTGGCCGAGATCGTGCTTGAAAGACGCTCCGTGCTCGTTGCGACGGTGTCTGAGGAAGGCGACGCGAGAAATGTGAGGAAGGCGGGGGGGGGGCAAAGGTTGGGGTAGTTTTGGGCGGGGGTATGAAGGGTGAGAGGGAGGGTATGGCGGCGGAAGAGGGCGGATGGGAGGGCGAGGGCGGGGACAGGGGCTTGGCGTCGGCTGGGGGCGAGCATGGCTCTTCCGTTTACGAGCCGCGAACCGCGGGTGGGTTATCGGGATGGGGGTTTAGGAGGTGAACGCGAGGATGGAGGCGCACAACGAACCACGGAGGATAGGGTGGTGGGTGAATCTGGAGAAGGGTCATAGCCATACTGGGAATGCGCCAGGGGAGATGCGTTTCTGGTGGAGGCGCCGCAGGATAAACTTTAGAGACCGGTGGAGCAGGCCGCGAGTACAAGGGTGCATCTGTGAGTGACAGCGATGTCCATTTCATCGAAGCTAACGCCCACGTGTAACACGTGGATGATCAGGTCATAAAAGCTCTTGAGTGCTGGTCGGCTAGGAGATGGCGGCATTGCAGCTACGTCCAAATGCATGAGGCAGCCTTGAGGGTTTCTTAGTCATCTGCTTGCAGTAAAGGACAACGAAAACCCTTCGCAACGGAAGAACCGTACGACATTCACACGTCAGGCCCGTTCCCATTCCTAGAGTTGTTTACTGTGTGATGAGGGGAAGTTGGTTGATAGATCATGCACACAAAGATATGGACTGGCAACGTCCATGAAACAAGACTCTCAAGCTTTCGTAACATCAAAATGGACTTCCCCCCCTCCCCCCTTACTACTACGACGCACCACTGCAACACGTCACGAATGCCTGGGGGTGGCAAGCGTCTATGGCTTTTCGCAATTTAGACCACTACCTTCATGGAAACAACCACATTAGCCACCGCTGCAACTACCACTACATGATCGTGCCATATCAGTGAGTCTTCTGTAGTCGATTAGAGATCTCTAATGGAGCCAGGACAGCCTCAGACCCGTCCTCTCGCTTTCGCGCAACTCTTCCCTTGCGTACAGTTATTTGCGATGTTTGTCCTGTACAACACAGTGCCCACGTCTACGGTCCTCAGAATTCGATTCGTGATGTCTTCCTAGTCCTTTGCCCACCCGCTACCAAGTGTGATCCCTCTATCCACGTCCCACACCCTCACATTCTCGTCCCAGGATGCAAACATCACATGTCTTCCGTCCGCACTGATGCCAACACTGTGCCTCCTGTCCGTGTGACCAGTCAACGAGCCCCCTCCTTGTGCTCCGTCTGGTACGAATGCGGCAACCGCAGTGTAGTGTGCGTACGTCTCGTTGTCAGAAGATGGACCAGCGCTTCGTATAGCCCGGTGATGCATGCAAAACAAAAACTCAGTTCTTGTTTTGCAAGCATCACCCGGCCATGAAGACTTTCATGCCTCCTCTACTTGTCGTCCTGACGATGATGCTCCCGCCAAAACTTTCGCACCTTCTTTGTACTCATTATAAAGCGCATACAGCTGATGCCACGTGCAGAGCGCCTCGCCCCAGACTACACCGTCGTACACGTCAACGCAGCCCAAAAATATGCGGTCACCCTTTCCTTCTTCGGTCACGGCAGCAAGGAACGAACACTGTCCTCTAGCCAGTGAAGGGCGTCTTCCCGGGGAGCACCGTCTTCCTCCTCCCTAACCATATCCAAGTATCTATATGCTTCCACGAGCGGCGCAAGGTTGAAGAATACTTTCCCAGTCAATCCAAGCAATCCGTCAATGTCAGCTATGTCCATTTCCTGTGCATAGACCTCTAGGGTATATCGGTTGCACCAGTCAACATCAAACAAAGGATGGCCTGCGAAAGAGCTGTCAAAGTCGAAAAACCGGACCCCTGGACCCTCATCGGCGCCCTTCCTGGTTAGGTTCCCACTGGTCGTGTCATTGTGTATCAAACAGGTGGGCATTTCCAAATCAATAAGTTCCGTCAGATCATCTTGCAGCTTCACCTTGATGCTCGACAGTTTCTGCCTTTCTTCCGTTTCTAGCATGGGCAAAAGCTCCTTACACTGAAAAAGTGAGTTCAAGTTCTCACGCATCCACAGTGGTGAATAACATGGTAGTCCGGCCTCCAACAAATCAGGCAACACCTTTGCGCTTGCGCGGTGCAGACGCGCCAGATCTCTTACGCCCTGCTTACGCCCTTCATCTTCCAATCCACAGAAGCTAGTCTCGTCACCGTGGTCCACAAGGATCATTTGACGACGTTCCACATCTGCGAACAACGGCTTGGCGACAAGATCAGGAACAACGTTAGACATTATTGACGTGACTCCAGCATCGTTCGACGTGGATGCACTGCATTTAAGGTAGTAATCACTCTCATTCGTCTTGATCCTTAGCACGGCTCCTCTGGATGACGCACGGATCTGAACCAATTCCCCCATCACATGCACATTGTGTCCATCAAATATTTCGCGCACCTTTCGAAGCGTTTCTTGATACCATCCAACAGAGGCCCAAGGCACCCGTCTAGGCGGCGTAACGTTGGCTACGGTCTGTTCCAGTTCTCGCCGAATGGCTTGCTCCGCTTCTTTCTCCGAGTGCGACACATGGACGACACCCCCTCTGTGATCATTGGTGATGGTCACCCAACTGCATCCAGAAGGCACTTCTTGAGATTTCTCATGGCACTGAGCAACGAGAATGGCGCGGACCTTAGTAGCTGAAAGATTAGGCGTTTCAACGGACAACTCCTCAGAGTAACAATGTCGAAGAACAAGAAACGGAAATTCGATACCAATGACTGTCTTGGCAGCGCTGCACACACCCTCTATCGAGCTGTCAGATACTTCTTTAGAAAGAAATCCCGGAAGCCTCCACTGATCAGGACCACTTGCCACAAGCAAAACGTATTGATGGCTCACATCAAACGTAAGAAGTTGCACCTCATGGACCAAATCCCTTTCACAGCGTGCTCTGGACGACTCGTAGATAGGCTGTTCGCTGCGAAGTGACATCTCTTCGTATCGCACAAGCAATCTTACGTACTCGTTTTGTCGAGCTTGAGAAATTTTCCGTTAAAGACTAAGGGGCGTTCTAGGTGTTTTGGAAAGTCGGAAATTTGGAAATCGGGAATTGTACAGCAGGGCACCGATTTCCAATTTCCATCTTGGATCCGGTCCAAAACATTTTGGAAACTTTTTTCGGACACCCAATCATGTCGCACTCAAGTGGGGAGTATTAGGTTATAGGCTAGGCGTACTCGTACAGTGTCGTTCCCTGCTTGATTAACGTACCATGCGTGCTCCCTTTCGCCGTCGTCTGGCTCGGCGGGCTTTCCCGATGCGCATACTATCAAAGATCGAAAAGCGAAGGCCCACCAGGGAGACAATGCAAGTTTTACTGTCTGCAGTCGTGCAAGCGACCATGAGATGCTGTGTTTTCCGTCAACAAGAGATTACAAACACACGAGAAAACTTCAATCTCAATGCACATCTGGCAACTATTGGTGAAGATCTTTTCATAAGATTGTACAGGCTGTCACCCTCACTCTATTCAAGCGGGTTTGTCACTAGTCGCCTCGCAATAGAGCAAACGTCAGTGACAACTTCCACGGCCAAATTCGGATGATTCGAACTCATAGTAGGTAGATGTTGTACATTCGACACAAGATGTCTTTCATACAGTCTACAGTTGCCATGCGTTCTTCTCTGTACGACCCTGTGCGTCCTTTTTGCACGAACCACGTTAGCATGCCAGAATATGAAGAAGCCTAATCTGAGGTAGCAGGCCGCATTCTCATCTGGATCGGTCCCACATGGATGGAACTATGGTAAGCAGTTATCGCAACGAAGAGCAGTCGTGCCGTACGAAGCCGGGAATTGAGGACCGCTAAAAAGATGGAATTTACGCTAGAAAAGTTTCAGAACTAAAAAAGGATCAAGCCTTCAGGGGTGGCAGTGGTCGACGGTGGAGGAGCACTGTTCGTTTTCTTGCCTTCAATGAGAATTGAAGTTCCGTCTTCGAAATAAAGCCGTGCAACATCGCGTTGTATCTCTGCAAATGCAATGGTTGGGGAGGTTTCAATACCTCTGGCGCTCAAATTAAAATCTCGTAGGGTCCTTAGCTCCATTGTACTCCCAATAATCTCCCTCACGGCAGCCGCCTTGGCATTGTAATTAGGTTTGGAAGCTGCCGATCTTTCTAAATCTGCCTTGGTATCCGTTTGGTCAAGGTTGATACCAATAAAGAGGAGCATTGGAACATCCAGCCCACCTTGATACTTCCTCTTCTGGCGGAAGTAGGTGATCATCTCTCGAGCTGACAATGTCCGAACGAAAAGGGCATCGTCGTCATTGATAGCCCTTGCCAAGATTGCTCTCGTAAAAAACTCTCGTGTCTATTCCCCTATCCTCGCATTCTGAAATATTTGAGGAGAAGGAGACATACTGTAGTGCAGTGAAAAACGCAGGGACAGTCATGAAAACGTAGTGCGCAGCAGTGCAATCTCCGGCGCTAAGTGGCAACCGGCATTGAACACACTGGGGGGCTTTGCTCAGATATCATGCAAGTAATGTTTTTAGAGCTGGACCTCACTCAATGGCGACCCACTAGAATGGATTACGCTCTTATAATATTTTTCTCATGATCCACTACTATAATGAGTGTTGTTTGAGAAAAAGATCCTGTACATAACATCAGTCGTCATGCCCTCAAATCATTCAGGAGGCAAAAATGTGCATGTGTAGAAGGGTTCGACATATGCTCGGTCAAATAGAGCGGGGTACTCTGTAGTACTCTCTGCTGAAGTCTGGGGGTCGTATGTATTTGGACTTTGTGCTGATTTGAGTGGAGGACAATGTTACGGTTGACAGTTCACCCTTGACAGGTTGCACTTGCAGTATAATCACCCCCAACGACGAGGGGGGTGAGTACTGACAGTTCGGGAAGACCCCGATCGGCGGGAAGACAGAAGCACGGCCCACCCACGGTACCGAGCACGGGCTCGAGGTAGCGGTGGTAGAGCGGGATCGGGGAGGACGCGCGCACGCGCGAGCGGTTCTACGCCTCGACGCCCTGGAGCGGTACTGGGTGACGATCCAGTACCGACGGGCGGAGGCGGAGCCGGCTCGTGGGCGTGCTACGCGCGTCCTCAACCCGCGCGCGGTGCGACTCTTAGGTAAAACGGACGGAAGTACCTAAAAGTAAGCGGGCGGACCAAGGTGGAGAATCCTTGACAAGTCCGTGCTTGTCCCCCCTCCACCGCCGGCGGTCCGCTCATATTTAATGTACACAATTATCTATCATGACACTACAGTACCGATGTACTGTAGTGTGCTACCGTAGTGCAGGTCGGTCTGCACTGTAATACTGTCAGCCGTCGGGACTGACACTACACGTGTGCGCGCGCGCCCGTACACGTGGGGTACACGTGTGCGCGCGGGCTGAGGTACTGTAGAGCTCGGGCTCTACAGCTGCAAATCTAATCTAAATCAAATTCCGGGAGGGGGATATGCCACATGGCCCCCCCCTCAAGTGTGGACGTCCACGTCCACATGTGCTTGTAGAGCCGACCGTATTGTGCCCCCCCTTCCAGGGACGTGGGCTCCTTCGTCCCTCCGTAACATTGGTCTCCGGTATCGCGTGCCTCCTTTCCGTTTCCTTTCTGTCCTCGCCCACGCGCTTCTTTCGTTGACGACCTCCAAACGCCGAATCTCGGCGACCTCAGACTCTGCGGCCTTCATTCTCACGCGGGCATCTCGATGCATCCGTCGAGGGCGTTCCGGGCGGTAGGTCACCCTCATCCGATGTCTCTTTTCTTGACCATAGCAACGCCTCTGTGCGGGCCTCCCAGTCCTGTATTGGAGGCACATCCGCTCCATCGACCTCACACATCTCAGCCGTATCGAGAAACCTCTCCTCTCCGTCTTTCTGCTTTTGTCCCGGTGGCGTCGTCGTCACTCCTCCGTTCCCTTTGTCCGTCCTTCCCCTTCCCAATCCGTCATACGCGCCGTCTCACCCCCTTTTCCCCACAGTGTCTCTCTTCAGCCCCGAAAAATCGCCCGTGTAGAGGTCATGGTACACGTTGATGGCGACGCTTAAATTCCTCTTCTGTATTCCTCCTACGTGTCGGTGGTGATCGACCGGTTTCCTTCTTTTCTTCACCAATTGGCTCCTCAAGGCGGGAGCATCCCCCTTTCTCTTCTGTCTCCCCTCAACCCCCATCTCGTACTCCAGGGCCAACTCCAGGTGCCGTGCGGCTCGATGACCCTGACACTAATCGCGGAAGGAGGTTGGCGAACCGTTTTCGTCTGGTGCCCAGACCTCGGTAGTTGGACCCCTGTTCGCGCGGCATAGCATCTCTACTTTCTCCCTACTGGCCCGAAACTTCTCTGCGCGAATCATCAGTGCATCGCACTGCTATTCTAAACCGAATTCCGTGAGGGCAGGGGTTTCCTGGGTATCAGTCGTAGAGGCGACCTTGTCCGCCAGATGTAGCGGGGGTCCGATGTCCTCGTCAATAGCGCGATTGGCGTGATCCCCAATGGGAGCGTTATATTCCAAGGAGAAAAGCCCCTCAGGTGCTCAGGTATTGTACCCTCCCCGTAGTAAAATGCTCTCCTCCGCGGATTGGCGATCCCTCGCATCAGCTTCTCGTCCATGTGCCCCCTAGACTAGACGGGCGCGCGGCGTACATGGACGGCGGTCGCTCCGCGTGAGCACGCCTGCATGAGGGAAGCAGCAGTCATGTGGCATTAGCTGGCGATGCGCGTGTGCGCGCCTGCGTGAGGCAACAACAGCGGCGGTAGCTGCGTTGCGCGCCCGCGCGCACGCAGAGAGGGGCGGCGCGATAGCACGCCGTGCTGCGAGGGCGATCGAGGCGGCGGTGGCGGGCTATGCGCGTGTTATTGTTGGCTATTCTCTGATTGTCCCACCCCATCCGATGGGGTGGGCCTAGAGGGTACGACGTGATTGCCCGAGGTCCTTCTTGTCCGTCGTGCACGCTTTCCGTGTCGCTGCCCGGGGTTGCTCGCGTACGCCGGGTTTCGACACCTTCTTTTCGTCGCTCCTTCCCCGCGTTCGCGCCGCGCGTCGGTCTCGGGAGCCGTGATTTTCCGCTTGCGATGCGAGGTCTCATTCTTCCCCCCTTCGTGGAGGCACGCCATTGCTGCGGAGGCGGCACGCGATCCCTGCCGTCGACGGCGGCGCGCGTGCTCGAAGTAGGAGGGGGTCGGTTTGCGGCGGGCCTCTTGGGATGGAGCACGGCTCGGGGTACCATGCGGGCCACGTGCCGGCGTGGTGGCGTTTCGCACTCGACCCTCGTCGGCGGGGCGGCATACGTGGCGGTTCTTACACCGGGCGAGCGCACTGTGCGTACGTTGTAGGGTATGCTGCAGAATGACGGTTGGCGCACGTCGGGCGCGTGTTCCGCCGTTTCCTGAGGTGGCTTGTAGAGCTCTCGTCCTTCGCTCCCTGAACCCTCACCAGCACCGCCGACGGTAGACAAACTCCGGTTCCACTTTGCGCTGTCCCAGTCCTTCCCCGACAGTCCCGACCGATCATCTCTGCTCCGTGCTATCGGCCGTCCTATTATGGCCGACTCGACCTCTCTTCCTCCTCCGCCGCCGCCCGCTGGCGGTGGCGAACCCGTGGCGGCGGGAGCGTCCGTCGTCGCGATTCCTTTGCCGCGCGGGGTCGGGTCATCGAGCGCGTCCCCTGGATCGCAAGGGGAGAACATCGCTCTGACCCGTCCGACCCCGCCGGCTCCTCCGGCTTTCCAGAAGTCCCGTTCCCGCTCCACGACCGTCTCCGTGGAGCTGGTGGCTCCTCCCGTGGGGCCACCCAAACCGGTCATCGCGTTCCGTCCGGCTGCCCAACCGACCCCAGCGGCCGTCGTCCTTCCCGTTGCGCATCCGGGCGTCGCGCGCGGCTCTGCCGCCCCCGCGGCGGTGGGGGCGGCTCGTGTTCCCGACGGTGCATCCTTCGGCCGTCGTACCTCCGTACCTCACCCCTCTTC